ACTACCTAACGCAACCCTCCAATTTTCACATCCGGGCTTTCATTGAAAGTTGTTACTAAAATCTGTACTCATTTGTTCATTCTTCAAGAACTAAAACTACTCCCCACTTTATTAGCCTTTGGTTATACATGAGAAATGCTAGCTTTTTGTTTAACGCTAAAAGGTTATTGGCACACACCTTGTAAGTAAATACGGGGGTGAAGTGGGGGAGTGGGGGGAAGTATTATAAAATTGCCTAAACTATAAAAAATAAAAATAAAAATTCTACTGTTTTTATAGAGAAATTGCAAAATTCAAGGGGCGCAATTTCCCAACTTGGAGATAACTTGGTTTCGTCCCTATACACTTCCCTCAAATCATCAAAAGATCTCCAAATTAACCACAAAACTTCAACTCATACAAGCTGTGTCTGGCCGCTCGATGAAATAAAAAAGAAAAACATAATATGTATTCCCAAGAGCATGGCTTTCACAAACCTTGATCCACTCAATACATTTACGAAGAAATTGTTTCACCTTGCTCCACAATAGAGCTTCATTCCTACCAAATTACAGTCCCGTTAAGCATGAGATTATCATACAAGTCAAAATAATTGGGCGAAAAATGAAAGTCAGAAGTTCCAGGAAAATCCTTCTTCAATCCGCATTATATGAAATCAAACATGCCCCAAACACAGACAAAACAATCAATCAATCTACGAAAAAAAGCACAACCTGATCCTCCCCAATCAATTCAAGAAGGCGACCTTTGACAATGGGCCCTAGCCGCCCTCCGCTACGCGAGTTAACAAATACCACGATGGGTGCTTCCGGGCACACATCAATCCACCCGCTCCCAGACGAAGAAACCCCCTTCACGGCCTCCGCAGCAGCCCTAGCGCTGGCCACCGGATCCTTGCTCCGCATTGCCTCCACCATAGCCGCACGCAGCCGTCCGGGAATCAAGATCCGCCGCCGAAGATCATCCCAGTCAACCCGCAGCCCGGCCACGATCCCGTACCCCTTGAAAGTCTCTACTATCGACGCCCTCGTTGAAACACCCGCCTGCCTCCCCCCATTCACGCCGTCGATCAGTAGCTCATCCGGGTCGCTCATGAAGAATCGCGACATCCCGGCGACTTTGGCGCTGGAGGTCTCAGCACAGAATTTGAGAATGGGAGAATACCACCCAAGTTTATGGAAAAAT